TCTAAAATTATTTATCATTCATATAATGTTCATAATTTTTGTTAACCAGGATCATTTTTTTTTTATTCTTCAGGTCTTTCTAGTTTCTGTTAAACTCTGTATAATTTTCTTATGCAGCTATACATGTTATGAAACTATGTAAGTATCAAGAACGATCAAAAAACACTGTTCAATATATTTTTTTAATTTAGCCATAATAATATCCACAATCTTCACTATATGACATTGACGAAATTAGGTATATTTTAATGTTATTATTATAGTGCATAAATAAGAAGTAACTTATGTGCGTAATATTCAAAAGATGGTTAATAAAAGTAACTGATAATTATTATATGATTATCGTCAAGACGTCAAAGAAAATATGAAATTTATGTCTAACCGGGAAGTAGGTAAAAGATACATTGATTAACACTGCATTGTGTTGGTCTACAGAATGCATAATATAGAAGTAATATTATTCGAAAATTCGTTCCGGAAAATTTTCGAAATCCCAAGTGCCCGATTTTATAATAACTACAATAAAAATTGTATGATACTTTTTTCGAATTTTACTGGTTTTAAGTATAAAATAATAATATATATAGAGGTAGTTATTTTCTTCAAAGGTTAACCTCCCACTCCGTGTGGTATTATAACTTCGCTCTAACGAAACAATAATTTTTTTAAACTTTATTTTCACATTATGTAATATACTTGAAAAATAAATCTAAAATAAAATATCTATGGAAATTAAATAGTTTATAATGTATAATATATATAGCTATTACATAACATTACGTGCTGCGATGAAAACAACAAGTACACAACACACGCATAATCATATTATGGGCCATGTGGGCGCAAACCGGACGAAAATGATTCGTCACACGAGACCGAAAATTATTTGGTTTTTCATATTATGTTTACTAAAAATCGAAACCGGCCTCGGTCCAGGGCGTAAAAAACAAACTATAATAAATACGCTTATACGCGCGTGAACGGATGTTCGTCATGATTTATACAATTCCTACTTTTATATATGTGTATATAGTAAATTATACTATATATCATATATGTATACAGGTACCAGTACGAAATGTAAACGATTTACTATTGTACGCATGACGTGTTTACGCGAAAGAGGAAACGATTTGTGGGTGCGTTGGTGGTGAGGGCTGATGAGGAAGAGTGTCCGACCGTCTACATCGGCGGCGAGTGGTGTGACGGCCATTTATTGATCGGCCGCGAATCGTCGAGGACGATGACCTTGCCCTTGTTACCGACGAGCGCATGTCCGTGCCCTGTGGCTGCCGCCTCGCGCCGCCTTATTCTTTGCCCTCCTGGCCGAGAGAATAATATAATATTATTATTATTATTATTATTATTATTATTATTATATCACGATTACGAATTACGTTCGTTTATCATTTCGCTTATCACAAGGTATGTACTGTACAGACCAAAGAGTGCAACAGCAGAAATTGCTGAGAAATGTAATTCACTATAAACAGTATAAACTAACTATAATATGTATTAATTTTTGTTCTGGAATTTTTTTTTAAATATATAACTATTAATTATTTCTACGTGAAATCTACATTTAAAAAAAGGAAAAGAATGAAATGTATTACAATATAACTATTTTATAGTTGATTAAATCTGACAGTTACTTCTGTTTCATATTACCACAATGACTGTACTTATATGGCAATATAAACAGTAAATACTAAAGTAAATCAAAATAATAAAGCTACAAAAATTAAAAGTTATCTAATATAATAAAGATTTATCATATATATCCAGTGTGACTTATAAACATACACCTTGTAATAACTCAAGTTATAATTCATAAAATCGTCATTCAAACAGCTGTTTTATATAATCGAAGTATACATCGGAATTTGAAATAAATGTCTCGATATAATACTTTTACCAATATTATATACCTCAATGAATTACAACTCATAAAATCATCATTCGAACAACGCGTATATATATTATCGAAATAGCTATAGAAATTTGATATAAACATATTGCTATTTACCCATACAATATTAAAGGTACCTGAATGAAATATTTTTAAACTGAACATTAAAACATGTATGCTAATTAACACTCTGCGATAAATATTTAGTGTGTGTTTGATATCAGGTTGGGTAAGTTATGGTTTGAAAATGTTCTAAAATCATGTCACTGTAATAATAATATTGGTTGTAATCGATTTTTAAAAGCTTTATTTTTTCAGAATTCAATCTTTAGAAGTTTTCATGTTTTTATTATTTAAGAAAAATATTTTTCAAACACTCAATGAATGTAAAACTAAAAATTTAAATAAGCTACATTTTTGTAGGTGTACCAAACGTTATTTTTCATAAACAAATCTGAGAACATATTATATTTCTGGAACAAAGCCTTGAGGTAGAGGGACGATTGTTGACTATGTCAAAAGCATTAAATTGTTCAAAAAGTGTATTAAAAAATATTTAAACTTTTACACTTTAGCTATTTTATCAACTGAAATTTTCCTATGTGATGAAATCGTATTATACATTCTTAGAACCATTAAGAAATATGTGTTTGAAATCAAAATTGGGAATAGTAAAATACGAAAATATTAGTCATTGAAATAAATCGGTAAATCGAAAAAAAGTATTTAAAATTCTGAAATAAAAACATGAAGAAAAGGTATTTTTAATGTATTTCATAACTCACAAAAAGTATACATTTTAAATAAAAGTATTCGAATACTTAGCATCACACTGATATACAATCTATACATATTTTAATTTTATTTCATGATCTTATGTAAAAACATCCTTTTAAGGATATTTTGATCTCAAAACCAGTTTTGACAAAATCGATATTTTATTACAGTCCTGTCGAAAATATGTTCAGTATAATGACACCACACTCGTGCGTACTGCGTAGTTTTTACTTATTGTAAATCTGGTGGAAAAAAAAAACGTTTTGCACAGAACACGTGGTTAGATAATGCACGATTGCACGAAATGCATAATGCACATTGCACAAATACAAATAATATTATACAGGTATTTTCAGTATACATATCAAATTCAGAGTCGATTATCGTCCGACAATGTCGCGTGTTATGATATAATAATATACTATTATGGATCACAATATGATCGCACTACAAAAATGTCATGACAAATCGTCTCAACGTGGTTTTTGTGCAAGTCTTTACATCTTATACGCCGCTTTTGTTTTTTTATACGTTGAGAATACGCGGTGAGTGCGTCGCAATACTAATTGGCCGTGTGCCACTCGAATCCTAAAACGAATCCTTTTCGTGTGTGAAGTATGCACTTATATAAATTACTATGTGCGTGTGTGCTCCAAAACCGTTTCAAAACTCCAAAAACATTTTGAAAATCATTGAGCAAACACTTCGTGTGTCGAGTGTTTTAATTGTGACCTTCTATATTTTGTACTTACTGCAAAATGTGTGACGATTTCACAGACGTAATAATTAATCGTGAACTTCGCGGAGATTTAAAAACCGTATAATATTAAAAGTTACGTCATCCGACAAAAACGACTGAAATAACATAATATTATTATCCTAAAAAGTGACTGCGATATGAAAATAAATTAAGTGTTATATATTCAGTGCCATTGGGTGAAAATGTTTTGTTGCCAAGCTGCCAACCTTTACTATTATACAATTAAATCAATTTATCGCAAAGAGAGTAATAGTGAAATCACATACCGTTTCAATTGTATTTATCCACATCTATTTTAGTTTTTATAACATCATATATTATAATATAGGTATATCACCTTATTTTTTAAAATTTGCTTGCAAAACATATGTTATATTAAGAATTATGTAACTAAAAAAAAACACCTTTAAAAGGTTATACCCGTAGCATCTTCCTCTCTTGACAACATAAGCACTAGATCATCGCTTATAAGCCAGCTTTTATATATAAAATAAAATTTACCATGAAGCGTCATCTGGTATATCTGGTTTAGTGGTATACATGGTATATTTGGTATCATCATGTATATGAACCATGACAATAACACAATTTATAAAATATAAACAGGGCTCGAATTGTGTGTGTGAGCGTGTGTGTTGTAGTGTGGCGAGGAGGGGGTGCTCAAGGAATCTTATACATATATTTGGAATTCATATAAATGCAACTGAAGTGTTGTACTTATTCGACATTTAAGCAAGACGTCATTAAAGAAATGTTGTTCTTTTAACGCAGTTTTCAAATCATTGGATTGAGCTCTCTCCTTTACTACGTTTTTTCCGATTCGAGCACTAAATATATAAACGCACAAAATATAATATATAGATATATAAATATGGACACTTTATGCTGCAGACTAGCAGACCATACGAGATCTGGAGACCAGCCGTCTCGGCTCGTTTGGGCGTGACGGCGTTAAATTTATTACATACGGAAGTAGCCGGTAAAGCCGCCGCACGGACCGTCGGATGCCGTGCCAACTCGCGGAGATGCGTATACTCGGTCGGTCGGCGTGAATGAAGCTTTTTAAATAGTTCGCAGCACCTACCAAAGTACCAACACATAATATTATATAATATAATATTAAATAGGGTATACGATTCACGTCTCGTCAGACGCGGCGACGTGCGACGGCAGCGACTGCAGCACATGTGTTAAATCCGTTCCCCCCGATACATTATGCGCGTGTGCCTGTTTATAAATAGCCGATGATCGACGACGACGACGAAGTTTCACCGACTCGAAACGCGTCAGCTCAGATTCCCCTCCCCCCTTCCCTCCACGTTTACTGTGGTAATATATTATATTATAATACAGCACGCGCCCGGCTTTCAGTACGAAACGAGCGGCACATATTATTATGTATGTGCGTATAAAATTATCCGTGGTGTATAGGAGAGAAGAGAATAGGTGGCGATGGTGGTTAGTGGTGGTGGTGGCGGCGGCGGCGGCGGCGGCGGTGACCAGCAGACCGGTGACCCATCAACCTAACGTGGTATACATCATGGGTATGTTATATATAAACACGTGAACGTAGTGTATAAGACACGCGTAGGGAGCGACGTGACGTGTCGGCTTTAAATAGTGAAAAACACAGTCGCCGTTATTTTGTACGTAGTGTGAACTCGGCATAATAATAGTGATATAATAATATTATTACTGAGCGGCACGCGCGGAAAACGGATAACGCGTTTTCCCGATGACTTTCCGAAGTCCGCGATCGATCGACGGGCGACGAGAAGATATACTTGATATTACTATATGCACGTCAGTGTATACGTAAACTGTAAAGTATGAGTATGGCGGCGGTAGCCCGTGAGTCACTCTATCAGAGTCTTACACTCGGTGACTCATATTATTATTATGATTACGATTTGAATATTTTACTCAGCGCGCCGCCGGAGTACAGATACGTGTAGCTCTTTTAATGAACTCGCGTTCGTCGAGGATCGTCAATAGCATTGATCCTATGTAAATATAATATATCCAATTAATTCATAACACTGTTTAAAAATTACAATACTAAGAAAAATAGCTACCTAAGTCCTAAAAAAATTGTTCTTGTTCATTTACTCGTATTTATTGAAAAATTAAGTTTTTACAAATATAAAAAGTACACATTACAAGTATAGTAAAAAATAAATGTATGTCTTTCCATTCTAGATTAAATTTAGTTGGGTTATTGTGGTATTTGTGGATTTGAATGATTACACCGCAGTACCAACAAAGTGACTAGTTCAAAATGACACAAATAATCTAAAAAATAGTAGGTACGGTTTTGTAAATGGCCACTTGGTCGAGTAACCAGTACCTACTGACATTTATGGTGCCCTAGATCCAGAACGAACTTGGTTTGAGTATGGTATTAAAATAGTTTGTGGCAATAGAACATGGTATGTAAAATAAAATCTATTTAATAGTTTACAAAGTTTATATTTATTATTATTTTAAGTATGTATTCATCCGCCCAGACGTCTCAAACGTAATTGGTGCCGTGATCTTCTTGACCCCCCTTCAAACAATTAAAAAAAGAAATAGTAATCATCAGTGTGTGTCATTAATGAATGGCTTCTTACATCAAGCGTTTCATGTAAATATTGTATTGTTTTTTTTAAACTTGTGTAACTTGTTTATTTAATTAATATTTAATACGATATGTATTCCTACTCTCATCATATATACTTTAATACTTATTGTGCTCCTGTGTATAGATTGTATATTCCAAATAAAGTAAAAAAAAAAGTATGTATTCATAATGTAGTATGTTTATGGTATATTGGTATCATAATAAATAATCAGTATGTTATATTTAAAAAAATGTAAACACTTATTTTAAAAATTAAATTTACTTCAAAATTATTTTATTTTGTTGTCATTTTTTCTAATTTAAGATTTACCAACAACTCGGATAATTTTAAAAAAGGTGGCATATACGAGTTGAAAAAGAATCGGAAAATGAAGAGGTTCAATTGATGACCGAACGTAAACGTACAACGCTTAATGTATCAGACAGTAACAATGACTTCAATCTATCCTAATTGTTAGAATAAGTTACTCAAAAACTTAGAAAACTATGAGTTTTAATACTTATAACATTAAACATGTTTGAAATTATTGTGTTTAGAATTGTAGTTCCTACAGGATACTGTATAGCACCTTCATCCACTTCTACATTTAAGTTACCCAGTAATGAAAAGGCTGTACACTATACAGAGAATAAATCACCTTGACTGAAACAATGCACAAACCAAAATAAACCAAATGAAACATTCCAATCATTATTATCGGATCAAATGAGTAAGCAATCATGTAGTATCAACTACCATACATTTAATCAAGTTCAAGTTATCAACCACCTCAAGATGAACAAGTAATTTTTAAATTTTTATAATTTAAGAGTACACCCTTAACTTAATATACATTGAAGTTCAATATTTATAATTCATTTTACACATTTCAAAAATGGTCTATCAAACAATTAAAACATGTTGCCATTATTTAAATATCAATATATTATACTTAAATTTATACAGAATACAAGTGCACAGAATACACCACATCAATTATGTATCACTCCGAACACCAACACTTATGGTAACATTATTAAACTTTAAATCATATATTCTGTTAAAAACAATCATTTTAATATTTCTGTTCGTATTTAAAACTGAAACGACACCATTTATAAATGCTGCAGTTCTTAACTGTCATTATAACAGAAATGTTGAAAATAACAATAATTATATTACACTTAGTCTTCACCTTCCCGAGATGCCAAATTTAATCGTATAATAAAATTTTAATTTTATTCAGTTCAATATTTATTGAAGCTGCACACAGTCTTTGAGCGCAGCAAACACAAACGACAAATTCGACCACGATTAATATTTTTAAAAAAACGCTTATACTATTTTCATCGTTGATGCTTAATTAAAGCTTAATATTTTAGGCTATGCTCGAATTAAAACGACGACTGTGGTGCGTCGATGTCACCTCAAGCGGGCCGCTTAAGTGGTCCGGATGAGTCAAGCAGATCGGAGCAAGATCCGGAAAAGAGCAATGATGTGGTGGCCTCGAACAACGACGCCTGTTCTGTCGAAGCACGTACCTACGGGTTACCGATTCTCACGCATTTATTTCAATGATTTCGTACCACCCATTAAAACCATGAGCAACGCCGCCATATCGTTTGAAATAATATATTTACGTTTGCTACAACCCACCGCGGCCACGTTAATGCAGCCACCAGTTATGGTATGGTGAGATGTAATTTCAGACAAATCACAGTCACTCAAATATTTCAAATCTGAAAATAAACTATGAAGATGAACAGATAACAGTTTGTTCGGATAACATTCAATAATATGGAAAGGTTCTTGTTTTGCTTCATTAAAGCAGGCAAACTCTTACATACAGATCAGTCACAAGCGTACACCAGTGAAAACCGAATCAGGGTGGGCCGTTGTCGTATGCAAAGTGATAGTCACCCGAACGACAACATCAGCTCTATGGGAAGACCGTACAGGTACCTATATATATATTCTCATAATTGTATTTCCATTATAAATGGCAACATTCATAAAAGAGCAACGACACAAAGCTACATCACCAACTACATGAGAAGATAAACCCAATTTAGAAGTTCAAAATACAATGCTTCGAATTTAATTCCAAACATTGAAATGAACAAATTCGGTTTTTTTTTTGTGTCAACGAACAGTTCGTCGTTCACATGAAAATATAAACACGGCGTGGATGGAAAACCTGTACCTACACTTCTTTACTTATATTTATATTTTTAATTTTTAAAAAGAACATGGAATACAGTCATATACCAAAATTTCATTTATACTAATCAACATTAAATAATCATTTATAGATATATGGTATAATTTATCTATAGTCTTAAAAAATAAATTGAATATAAAAAATCAATATAGTAAAAAAAAACTTGAATTTATAATTTAAGTTAAGGGCCCTGTGTATAAACATTGAAAAATTAATTAAATAATACAATAATCAAGGATATAGAGACAGAGTATACACTAATATAAAGATTAGAAAATCAACACTTGTCCGTTTCAAACATTAATACATATAATATCCGATTTATTTTGTAAAACTACAAAGAAAAAGAATCAGACTGCAATTATACTCGGTTGTTGTATACTTGTATCATAGTTACACGCTAACGTCAAAATGTATCAGTGTCATTATATTAACATAATACGCGTAGTTTATCAATTTGGATTTCACCGGATAAAGTCGAACATTTCACATTGAATTTCGGTTTGCAATTTATGAGTCTATGTGTGAAAAAAAAATCCATGATAGAATAAAATCGTGATAATGTCGAGTACTCGCCTCCTGCAGATCACGTATGTCGCATTTCGTATATCAAACACCGACAACGCTTACTTTTGCATCGATTTAAGTGCAATTACACTTAGTGGTGTACTCATAGTTTTTATTTTTATTTTTGGGGAGAAAAGGTTTTTTAAACCGGAGCAGCAAAAAAGTGTTAGGTATTTTTTAATATTCATTACAATAACAAAAAAAGGTCTAATCGAGGCGGAAATTATCATTCTCCTAGCTATTTTACAGAAAACTCATTTTTATAATCTGTTGAATCATTTTTATGATTTAACCACCGACTTGATATCTATAAAGGATAAACCCTAACAACGTAAAAAACCAGTCAAAAAAGGCGCTTGAGGGGATAATATTATAATAATATATTTCTCATCACTAACGTCCTAAGCACGTCACAGTACCTATGATGTACACTATTATTATAGCATACGAAAAATCGTATAATAAAATAGACGGAAGTTTATCGATAACTTGAATTTTTTTCTTACCCCTTCAAGTGTTTTCAAGTTGTATTTGAAATATATAGCTCGAAAAATACAAAAGTAAAATTTATTTTTATCCCCCTTGAGATTCGAGTAATTTAGATTCGACTGTGTTATGGTTTCACGTACTTCCCGATTTCTGATTTAATTTCTGCACGTTCACTTATGAATTCGTAGCCATTTCAATATAATATTATTAATAGTTGTTCTGATCTAATCGAAATGTATAGGTCGGGAGTGCGCGGTACTTAACCTATCTATAATACACGCGTCCAGTCATCAACCACAATACTTGTCTGTGCGTGCCAAATGCCAATACGTATACCGTCCATTATCATATTATAATATTATCTGCGCGCGCGCGCGCGCGTGTGTGTGTGTGTGTGTGTGTGTGTGTGTGTGTGTGTGTGTGTGCAGTGTGACTGGACTGTGCTAAATAAATTGTTCAAGCTAATTATACGAAGTATTTATTTAGTTCAGGGAGTTCGCAAGCAGCTCAATCAGCATAAGTGCTTGAGATTGTCAGGCTAATTCGGTAAATGAGTAACTCGTGCTATAATGTATACGTGAGCAACGAATTATTTGTGTTTGCAATATAATATGCATAGCCACTTAGGTCATATTATTATAGGTGTTCAGGTATTTGTGCGTACTCTTGTGCGATCTATTAAAAAAGGTATTCGTGGCATGTATTGTTGTACCTATAACAATATAGAGCAATATATAACTCACATGCAATAAAAAAATATCAATAAGAACCTTAACAGCCTTACTGATGGTTCGACAATTATTTATTGTTATAATAATTTATAACATTATTATTATGGGCTATTTCCCTTTTGGGCCATCATCAAAAATACAATAATATAGATAACAAAATATTATATAAATTCAGTAACTCGCTGTACATACTCTGATACTCTCAAACAATGCTGGCTCGAAATATTTTGGTCAGAAAGAGTTGTTTCGCTTGAATTCTGAATAAATTCTTCACAGAGCACAAACACAAATATAAATTACAACTAAACAATTATTTACACTCCACTTGCATCCATATATACATATGAAAGAATTAATTGTTTGACTATTTGAGCCTGTAAATTAAATTAAATATCTAACGTTAAATGTTGACTAATATGTATTTGAGTCGTACGAGTAGATATGCGATATAATGCTAACACAAATAAATACAAACACAGTGCACAATTATTATTATGTATTGCATAATATTATATAGAAGCGTTCAAGATCGAACGATGGAATTAATTAATATTGACGTTATATATAATAGATATTAAAATTAATTTCAATGTTGCAGTGCGTGTGTACTGTGTACTGGTCGGCGACAAGTTCAGATCCCTTTCGCGGTCAACAGTTGCTTAGTGTCGAGTAATAGTGGCGTGGATAACTGCAAATATTGTAACAATAATATTACTCACGACGCTGATACTAAAAATATTAATAATAATAATACCTAAAAATTAGAACTAAATATTGATGTACTAATTAACCTATATAATAATGCCCTAAAAAAATATACGCCATAAAAACTCAAAAATGGACAACAAATTAAAAATATTCCTTTCTAAAGTATTGCTATGATATGTTTTTAATCTAAATACTTAAAGACCCTCCATACAAATATTAAAATTTATAAAATTATTTATTGATTTTTAAATTTAAAATTAAGCCTTGTAAACATACTTAAAGTTGGGCTTTTTTCGGTTAGTGGACAATATAAAAATATAATAACTGGTAATTTTTCTCTCAATTGTTGAAATGAAGTGAAAAATTTCTCACAAATTCAAAAGATGACCTTAAATGTCACAAAAAAGACACAAGAATGATAAAAACTCAAAATAAAAATTAGTTGTATAGATTTGTATATAATTTAAATTTGAAACACATTCTAAGCTATAGTTAAGGATCATCAAACATGCACTATAGGCTTTCAGAGTTCATGGGCTGAGGCGTGCTTACGGCGTTGACGAGGAGGGTGTCATATCCTCCCTTTTGGCTAAGGTTTTTCGTTGGTTTATTGATTTTTCAACAACACAAAAAAACCTGTATATTTGTTGCTAAAATAAAAATTCTAGTTTTAGTTTTTTATCCTTGTGATTTTTTGAAATTGCCCTTAAGTTAATAGTTGGTCGATAACATCGAGATAATATAATATATAATACTGTATAAAGTAATGCGCAAGCATATTTACAGCTTCCACGGGTCGATTTATGCCAAGCTGGAAGAATAAAACATACCTACATACCTATACGAATTCCCTACAAACGATAAATGAAAAAAAATTTTGAAATCCCAATTTTTTAATGACTGTTTAATTTGGCTTGACAACAATGCTATTGTTTTACCAGTGAGGCTACGTGCAGCGTATCATTATTATGCTCGGCTTTTTCCAGTCGCCTGTTTCATATTCAGTTTGCAAACGTTTGATATCTAGAATAATGTAGTTCATCAATTAATGTCCAATTAATGAACAATGTAGTTACATTAACTCGTTAGGTAATAACAATATCTACCTATATTGATTAAGTATATCTACTAATGCAATATCGTAAAGAAGGGTGAGAGGGTTGGGTGGTTCAACCCCCTTACTACATGGAAAGTATAAAATGTAATGTATTTATAAACATTTGAAACTATTAACATAATATATCTAAGTATTTAATTTTGATATCATGACCCCCCCCCCCCCATGTTAAATTCTTGTGTACGGAATTGTACTATTGTACTAATGACTGTAATCATAATATATTTGCCAAATAAATACTATTAAAGTATAATTAGCTTATTATGAATAATTTATTTGATTAACTGCTAAATCAAAATATGCGCTGATAATTATTAATAATAATCGACTGTTTCCTATTATTCGAAAATTAAAATACGAACATACCTAATAATTACTATCAGGTAGCTGATTTTTTTCCCGAACAACAAATAATAATAGTCGATATTGCAAATAAGTCGGTTGCACTCTCATCATTAGGTCATCCAACGGGTTTCTTGAACATTTATTTTTTCAAACATAATATTATTATATATTGTGTCACGAGTTAAAAGTTATAACAGTACACTTTGTATGAATTCAGAAAGCCTTCAAATCCGATCCATCGTCGATGTTGTCGGAACAATAAAGACCGACAGACAGATAGCGCCTCACGGCGTGACAGCGAGCGACTATTGTTTTGCCTGCCGTCCGGGCGTTTTGTTTCAACTCGAAAAACGTGAGAATTACAACAGTAATGATGACAGTGATTATAATAATAATAACAATACCTACCGATAATCAACAATATGATTGTTGTCTCACTCCACCGTTTTTGTCAAAAATGCATCACTATTAGAGGCATAAAGGTTAAGCTACGGCGGCCAACAGAAAACTCGGCACAAAAAATACAAAACATAATAGGTATGTCCTCGCGATTTACTTTAATTAAATGAAAAACAATATTATTGTGAAGACCAAAATCTTTGATACCTGAGATGACAACTCAATCAACAATAAAATAGATTGCCGGGAGAATGGGTTAGAGTGATCAGGCAATAATTATAACCCCACATCTGACGGCGGCGATGGGTTTTCCATTTTTAATTTGTTCTTATATTATCTGAAATCAGTAATATTAGAAACTACTAAAACATCCTTACTGCAAACCCGTGTGAACTTATCTATTTTGTATTCTCGTGTCAACTCTATAATACCATTATCAAAACACCGAACTAAGACTTGCTGTCTAGTATCGAACTAGGTTCTATATAATTTTCCATTAGGACTTGGAAGACAGAAGTGTTGTCCTGACTGGATTCGACTATAATTATTGTAATATGTATTATGTTTGTACCGTCGAGTGGCGTATTGCCAAATCCGTAGTAGGTGTATAATATGTTATTAATGCATTATTATTTACGAATCATGAAGTGAATCACAAAGATCTGACAACTTCGGAATCACATTTCGGTAGATTTCCGTGATAGACACTGT